AGGTTACTTATGTTTCACTCTGTGACTGAAAGCCCTCTTGAAATGTCTGCTCCGATCCAGAAGGAGAAGCAGCGAGGAGGAGCATCTCGCTTGGTGTCTGCATCAGCCACACCAACGCGCCTCGAGGTCCTGGCAGAGCACAGCTCTGCCCACAATCTAGGGCACGTGTATCTTAGCTGGTGCTTTTGTCTCCTCACAAAACATGGCCCCAAAACAGTTTTGTCAACAGCCCTAAAATGATTCCAAATTTTTCGTGAACCATTCACTGCAGAGGAAATGGGCACGGGCTGAGAGTAACAGGCAAAACCTTGGATTTTTGGCCCCAGAGTGCGGCCACCTCTCCTCTTTGCCACCCAGCGCAGCTCTGCCTGTCACCTGAACACCACCATCCGGACAGAGAAGCTTCTGCTAGGCTTCCGAAATGCTTCAGTGACCTGGGGGTTAAGACACTCTGGGAAAAGAGGGTAAGTGGGGATGCGTCTTCTGTGGCCTACAGGAAAACCTCAACCCTGACCAGTATTTCCTGGGTATCACAGAGTGAGTGGGACACTGGACAGATGTTGATTTGTTGCTAAAAAGGAAGGCTGTGGGTGCCTGGGAGGCTGAGAACACCCTCTGGATGGATGACAGATTTTAATACCTGATTACCAGCTCCTAACTGGCTTTGTGAACTAGCCACTGAGCTGCCCTGTTTTGCCAGCATCTGGGCAGTTAAAATCAACCAAGAAGGGGTTTCTGAAGTGCTGGGTAAATATTTTCATGACTGGACATTTGTGTTTGGGGGTTTTAATTCTGCTTAAATCTCACAGTGGACAGTAAAACAATACAGCAGATTATATATTATATATAATATAATGCATTATATTATATATGATCTGTATTATATATATATATGATCTAACGTATACACACTTGTGCATGCCAAAAATACATGTAAATAGCACAGAAAACTTTTTCTTTCTCCAAACACAAGTCATTCATATGTTTCATTTCTAGCTTCTCCCTCTGAAATGTGAAGACATGAATTGTTGCCTTGAAACCCATCCAAACACACCACAGTTTGTGAAAATGATTTTAGCTTGACATTTTTTTCATTCACCTGCCATTCTTCTACCCTTCAACAACTATGCCAGGTAAAAAATATTTTCCTGACTACTCAACTAACGCATACTTAATTGTTTGTTGCACTGTATTGTTAACAGCGACGGGTAGTGGGTTGTGTTATTCCAAGGTCAGAGAAAAAACCACAATTAACGTTAATGCTCTAGGTCATAAGTCAGAGCAACAATAACTTAGGAAGCATAGTCGAGCATTTTAAACACTCGAGAGCATTATAAAGCATGCAAAAGTGATGCAATGGTGTCAGCCAGGCCACACACGGCTAAATGGAAAGTCATATTGCTTTGTGAAGGCATAAATAGGTCTGCATTAATTCTGATGGAATAAGTAGTCCCCAAAAGTCCAAAGGTGTTAACATGATTGTCAGAACACAACATTAGGCAGCTAAATAAACCTTGAGGCTCAGAATACAGAAACCTCACTACTTAGTGTCATAATAACGTAGTTAAAGTCTCGTAGACCCTTTATTAATGAGACAGAAAGAAGTGAGGGGAGAAAAAAAAATCACCAAAAAGTTAAGGTGCGTAGAGCACAGAATTTTCACGTGAATAACTGCATTTAACAGACTTCACAATGACAATGGGAAGAGCTAGCTTGGCACAGAGAACATGGGGTAGAAAAAGGAGGGCTGATACCATACTGCATACTAGTTCAATACCACATGTGGTTTGCACTGCAGACATGAGCTGGCAGGGCACACAGAGCTGGCCTGGCGTGGTTGAAGCTGCAGGGGGAAGAGTTTGAGCCCTGCAAGATCAGGAATTCAATAACCTGCAGGGTTAAAAAGCCAGAAAGCCAGAGGTTGGTACCACTGTGGTGACAGGTATGGCTGCATGCTGTGACATGGAAAGGCACCTGGAGAACATGTTGGTCCTCGAGACAGTGGTGCTGGGGCTGCTGTACCCCAAGGACAATTGTGAACCTTGGTGGGAAGTGTCCTGCTGCCCCCATGTGCTGCCCTCCAAACTACCAGAGACACCAGAAGCAGGAGAAAAAAAAAAAAAAAAAAAAAAAGATCCACCTCCAAGGAGACACCATGATTTTTCTGATATAAACTAGTTAAAAAGAAAAGGTTCTCCATGACATTTCACTGATGTTGAAATCCATGGCTTAGCAAGAACAGTTTGCCATGATACCAGCTAGCAAATTTAAATGAATCCCTGGCCCGGGAGGAACCTTTCTAGCGGTAGAGAACATCCAAAAGAGCTGGAAATCAAAAAAACAGTGCAAAGACGCAAGGAAACCTTACAATTTAGTCAAAAACACTATTGCCTTGCATAGGAAAAACATGCAGATTTAATTGGCTGAGTTGTCCTGTTTCATCCTATTTATTAAACAAGGTGAGGGATTTTTACTGCCTCATTTGTGATAATGACTTGGCAAAAAGCAAACCTAGCCAACTCCTTATTCTTCTGTTTTGTATACTGTCACCAGAATATTCGTATGGAGGAGAATTTACGTCAGTTTGCCAAGTGAGCCATACTGCAGGACAATTTTTAGAACAGATGTGCACCACTACCAGCAGAAAGAGTATCATAACAAAAGGAAATGGGTACAGCTAGGGGAGAGAAAGTCTTGAAGACCCCAAACCAGAAAAGGGAACAGCAGAAAAGGTAACACACACAAGCTAGACAGTGTGACCACGTTACACTGTGAGAACAATTAACAGACACGTGCAGATATAAAACTAGTTAAAAAAAATATATGAGGGAGGAAATTGGATAGAGAGATATTTTTCAGTGTTATTACTGTAACAACAACATAAATATCCATCAGGAATATTCAGTACCAAAGAGCCAAGTGACCTGCTGGTGTTTTGCTCATCCTTCTGCTTGTCAGGTGATTGTTGTACTAGTTCAGAACTGCTAGGCTTACTGAGAAATGATGAGCTTTATCCTAGTGCTGAGAAACCATTAATACCTTTCTTTGGGTTCTAATTATTTGATTTCCTTGCGGGACTTCTCTTGGTATTTTTTCTAAAAAAGAAAAAAAGCACTAAAAAAAATTCATTGAAATTTTCATATTGTTACGACTGCTTTTCAGAATGCTGCTGTCTGTATTCGCACACCCGTAGGAGCTCTAGTCCTGCCTTCACTGGACTAGATGATGCATGAAGATTAAAAGGAGAGATTGTTCCTTGAACGCCATTGACACTACTCACTTCAGCCTCACAGGCTTAAGTAGCAGAAAGTTGCTCTCCATCTTTTTTTTTTTTATGAGCCTAATCTTTTTATTATTATTTTTTTAATATATATGTATTTCTGGTGGTTTTTAAATGGTTGAGGCTCAAAAGCTGTTCCTCACCTTACATACACCTATTTTATGTGAAGCAGCAAGCCATGATTAACTGCAGTTCTATTAAAAATACCAACTGTTCTTTTCTGAGTGTTAAGACAGGTCAGATGTCCACTTAAGTTCCAAGACAGAGGTAATTAATCTATAGATTAAAAGAGAAGGAAAATATTTTCAGTAGCCTTTCTATGCCCTAAATAGTATTTCAGCAGCGTAACACAGTGCAAAACCAAAAGCAAATCTTTCATTTAAATACTCAGATTTCACAACTTGTAGTTTGAATCGAAAGCAAGTGATCTCACAGCTGTGAAGAATGGAGAATGGTTCAGAAGTAATAAAAATACACATATTAAGATAAATTACTGAAGAGAGCTGTAGCCATATTTTTAATGGAAAAAGGGCAGGTTCTGTTACAGTAATTCCATAGTGCCATGGAAGTGTGTAAAGGATCTAAAACTTTACAAATGCTTAGAGGAAAAAAATCTGAATAAATATTGAGCAAGTGCCTTTGCTGAAGAAGCTAAAATGGGGAAAAAGAGCATACCACAGAAATCATACACAATATTTTCCTTCTGCAGCAGTAAAGACTGGGTGAGTAAGGGTCCAAAACACAAAGCTTTCATGATATGTCCTTAAACTGCCGTTCTTAAAGCTGAACACACTGGCTTCTGAAATAGCCCAGATAATGTGGATATATTATTTCACATCTGTCCTTAAAAAGAGTAATTTTAAGGCCAGATAATTAGAAACTTCTCCATTTATGCTATTATTCCATGGCATGAGTCCAGAGCAGAATGCATGCGCTCCCATTTGTTTTGCACACCCTAACTACAGTACATTCCCTCTGTGTTGTGACTGTTGCAGGCTTTTAGAAAATGCAATTCCATTTCCTCTGCTTGATAAAGAATACTTTTAAAAATCCCTGCTTGTTTGTTTTTAATATGGAAATTGAAAACCACAATTTTATTGTGCTAGACAACTGTGAGCAATTGTGTATTCATTTGATTGTGGTGGGTCACTAAGTGCATGATCAGTGCAAAAATAGAAGACAGTAGGTGAACTTCAAAATAAAGAAGTTCTGTTGTATTTTTGTTTGTTTTAAAGAGAATTAACACAGCCATTTTTCCAGATTTTCCAGAAAGCTTAAAAAATCTGAAGCTGGGCAGTGCTTTCATTTGTAAATTCTGAAAAAAACAGTCAATGCAGATAAAGTACAAATCTACAGGATAGCTGCCCACATAACTCGTCTTCAGAAAGGGCAGGAAGGAAGACTGGATATTTAATAGCAAGTAGAAGAAACAGTAAGGGGATGCACATATCTGAATAACGCTAAACTTTGACTGCACTGGTTCTTGTTGCAGATTAACAAAAATGCAGAAGTAGCAGCCAAATCATTTTCTTTCAGGACCAACGGACACAGCAATACACAGCAGTTCACTACACAAACTCTCTTAGATAAAGGAAAATTGTTGCAGATTAGGTATATATTTGCTCAAGATCCATATAAAAGATATACAATTGGACCATTTCAAAGTACCTGGCTACACATTGTAACAGCCTATTTTCTTAAACTTTCAGAGGAAACTCACCCCATCTGGTCTGCCATCCGAGGCTGTAACAATCAGAATATAGCGATCAGTGCTTTCTCTGTCCAAGGGCTTTCCTAAGGCTAGCAGTCCAGAACTAGTGATAAAACAAAAACACGAAATGTTATCACAACAGGTTTAAAATTTCCATGAGCACTTTTGTTCCACTACTTTGCATTACACGAATATTTCCCTTCGAGCAAGTTAATAAGCTTTTAGGCTTTATTATTACTGAAAGCATGTTTTCTATAGGTACAAACTAATAAAAATGATAAGCCATTTTCTAATACTTTCCACTTCAGTACACAGATAATTCAGGGCTAAAATAACAACTTAGTGCTATACAGGATTATACAAAAGACAGTCCTACTCTCATTTGTTAGAAAGCTGTTGTGCTATAATAAATGAGACGAGAGAATCACAAGAAGTCTATTAATCACCGAGGAGTCCTGATAGCCCTGACAGGATTACAGCACTAAACTTTGAGAATACGACTTGGATGGTCTTCAGTATGAACCTCCTAAGAGTTTACAGGGAAATACTCCTTACTTGCACATCTCATTACGGAAGTAAAAGCACTACAATGAGCTAGTGGCCTTTCAGTACAAGCACAGATATACTATGTTCCATAATAATATTAAAAAAATTAACGCAGACGTTTATATACTATGTTCCATAATAATATTAAAAAAATTAACGCAGACGTTAATGTTGTAGAGAATGTACCAACACACACGGATCCAGGATGGTATTTATCCTTGTGTTGCAGGGATAAGTAGCTTCCCCCATGAAACTCCAGCAAACACGTCGTGGGTAGCACGACACATTTGCAGAGCAGTGTAACATGTGGTTTTGCTGTGCCAAGCCACAGGGGCTGGGACGTTGGTACACAGTGACTTTCCTCATTATTAATGTGTGTCCCAGACACAAGCATTTGTTGGCCCTAACTGCAAGTTTTACTGGTTGAGTTTGGTTAATGTTCATAACCTAACAACCTAAGCAGATACTTACTCCAAAAAAAAGTTTTATTAAACCAACAAAATAAAGCCAAACCCAAACCAAGCAGAAGAGGTGAAGATAACCTATAACCTATGAATGAAAAAAGATGAAGATAACCTATGGTTTTTTTTGTTTTTGGTTTTTTTTTTTTGTTTTGTTTTGTTTTTTTTTTTTTTTGTTTTGTTTGTTTGTTTGTTTTGTTGTTTTGTTTTGTTTTGTTTTTCCATTTTAGATCATAAATTTCTGCAAAGTTTCTGCTGTGACTTCTTACTCTCAGAGAAGACTTCAAACTGGTTCCACACCAACTTTTTCCAACATTGTTTTCAGCAAAGACAGATACCAGCACTTACAGACAAGCTGTTATTGTAAGCATTTTTTTTTCTTCAAATAAATACTGCAGGAACAAGGGAAACAGTCAGTAGGAGAAGAACCATCCCCCAGGGTTAAAAGGTTGGCAGGTAAAACACTATCCAAGCCCAGGAATCAAACAAAAGAAAATTCAGGGGATGCTACACTGGATCCCACTCATTGCTATACAATTAAAATGTTATGTAGCTTCCTCAAAAAAAAAATATAAATAAATCCAACTTAATTGTACCTAAATTACTTTTTGGAGGTTGCTCCAGAAGGAAACTATTGCCCTGAGGACCCAGAGGGGCAGTGGCAGGGTGCACATAACACCAGAGAAATGGATGGATTCTAGAAAAAGTCTGCATATGCATTTATGTATGTTTTTATATATAATTACAGGAATATATGTAATTACGTAGTTATAAATAATCAAACACAGATAGTGTACATTATACATGTGTATAATATACATCTGACTATATATGGTTAAAATTTAATTGAATATATTTCATATTTATATATGTACATATTTATACATATGCATATATGCAATCTTAGCTGCTTGCCTTAGCATCATAATAATTGGGCTTCTAGTAATTGCTTGATTAGACTATGAAGACCTTAATTAGAGTAACAGTAAATTCTCGGCTTTGCATTCACAGAGTGCTCCTCCTACCCATAAGGTAATGAGTGTAACAAACTGATGGGATTTCCAGCAATCTATCCTGTAATTTCTCTGTGACAAATTTATAACACCACATATCTCATCTTGTTTCCACAGTCTCATGTACCGTTTTCTGCTAGGGAATATTCAGCTGGGCTCAATTAATTATTGTTATATCACTAAATACCATTTAACTTTTAACCTAAACTTTTCATCATTTATAAATAGCAGAAGTTGAAGTAGTAGTGATGCTACTGAGGGAATTATTAACTTCCTTCGTGGGCCATAGGAACATTGAATGTATTATTAACGCTACACCTATCTCTGTGCTTTAACAATCCTCTTATTTCCAGGTGTTACGCAAATCCATTAGCTATCATAATAAATCTATCACATTTCAGCATTTCATCAAAAACAATGTCATAAAATATGAACAGAAGAAATTTTTAGGAAAGTAACAGTGAATAAAACATGAATCACAAATATGGTAAAAAAAAAATAATTTACAAAAAATCAAAGGTGAACCAAGAATAAAATATCGACAACAAATACTGCTTTACTAACACTCTTATAACTAAGGTCAATTTATATAATCCATACAAACTCCTGTGTGGTAATCAAAGATTTGGATGACATTCATTTAACATCCCAGCTTTATATTACCATTTCATCTGGTATGAAACATAAGGCACTGAATTACAACAGATCGTACTAAGGTTGCACTACCAAATTAAAAGAGAACTAAACCATCTCACATTCCTCCAACTGAGTTCTAGGTAAAAGAGATCTAGTAAATAGACACAAATCTGTCAATATTCACTAGCCGTGCTGCCAGTTAGGGAACTAAACAGCAATTAACTGAAATGTAAGCGACACAAAAAATAATCCAGATGAGAAAAAAGACGAGGAGATAGAGTTATGTTCATCGTCTCTGCTTTGGCCTTTAAGTATCTAAAAATGCATTACATATTACGTAAAATAAATTCCTGCAGGAATCACTTTAACTATGCTCTGTTTAATGGTAATCCTACTTTAATATCCTATCCAGACATTTCAGCATCTAGAAAAAAAATGTGAATGGCTGAAGAAAGCTTTGAACAAACATTTTGTAGGAAAAGACATGCAAGGATAACAGAAAGGAGAAAACACTTCAAAGAGATCTCTCTTTTTTTTTTTTAATCAAGAAGCAACAGATTAAAAAGATGAACAAACCACTGACTGAGTTTGTGCTGAAACCCTTGATGTTCTCTGATACTCAGATACATATGGGGGGTGTATGAGGCTGGGGGCTTGGGGGGGGGGTTCAGGCCTCAGGGCCTGACATCTGCAACACTGCCCATGGGCACACAGAGATGGGCCAGTGTCTGTAGCCTTCAGAGAGTGCATTGGTATTTTTTTATGATGTTCATTTTCTTGTCTGACAAGTCTTTATTATTAGAGGGCCTATCAATATCCGTGGCTAACAGCATCAGCATCTCATGGTGTCTTCAAGGCTTTTTTCACATTGTTTGACGAGTGATTTGATCCTCCACGTACAGGAGATGCAGTAGTGAGTAACTTAGAGCTTACTTATGGACCTGAACAATATCTCCCACATACCAAATTAGGACAGTTTTTGCAATTATACCATAAGCAAGCAACTCCCGGGTCAGTTTTGTCCCATCATCTACCATGGGACATCACCAACCTCCCTTTTCCTGCAAATAAAAAAGATACTCTGGAGTGTAAATAGCAGCTGCTTGGGTAAAATAAAGAAGGAGGTAGGACACAGACAGACCTACATGGTGCTTTTAGTTCACTAACATACCCTCTCTTCCTAACTAAGTTGGTATTCAGTTTAAGGAAAAGAGGTTTTAAAATAATGATCAAAAGACTTTCCGCTACAGACTTAAAATGCTTGAAGGCAGGAATCAAAAGCAAAAACTGTCCCCATCATTAGTCAAGAGTTGACAAGTAGAAAGGTTTTTAATTAATCCCTGGTCACTCTTTTAAATGGAATATTTCCACCTCTGTGGGCTTCACCTACTAAAGTATTTAAAATAAATAAATAGTCCCCTGTGAAAAATTATAGAGTGCAGTAGCATTCACAGAGCTCTCATTAATGTCAGAGAGCTAATCTAAGGAAAAGCCGAATACATCTGATTACAAGTCTTTTCTTTTGCTCTCAGCCCACATACTCCTGTGATTGAAAAGTTACAAGTCTATTTTCTAAGGGTTTTCTACTTACCTTTGAGAGAGATTAAAAACTTGTTGAGGATCTCCATTCTGAATGAGGTATCTTATAGGGTCACCCTCTCTATCAAAAGCCTTTAAGAAAGAAAAGAGGATAAAAAGAAGTCAGAACGTTTTTATTCTTCCTTTCAAACTCTAACCTGAAAAATTAACCCCTGAGCTTCCATTGAAGTTACCTACAGGAAAGAAGCTAATCTCGCTATTTCTAAGGCAACATGAATAATTACAGATGAGCTACTTAAGATAAATCAGTAGCACATCAAATCCTTATCCTAAAGAGAAATGACAGTATCCTAAATACAGACTTTCAAATCACTACTACGCACGAACACAGAGCAATGCATTATAAAACTGAGGCTTTATTCAGTTATTTTTTATATTTGTGAGAAAACAGGCTGATGAGACTGAGCTTGTCGTTTTCTTTGTTCTCATTTCTTATCCAGTTTCTTCTTTCTGTTAGCTTACCAGAATCCAATCCCAAGCCTTTTTCACTGATGCTCCACTAATCAGGGTAGTCCTATCAGTCCTACCCTCCACCATAATTTGCTTTTGGGCGGATGGAAATTAGGTTGAGAACTTAGAAAGGAGCTATTAACAGCATCAAAGCTATTAAATTCCATCTACTAGATGGCAAAATAGCTTTGCAGAAGTTGAGTAAACTACTTCTGAAGATAAGCTTCAGCTAATCTGTTTCCAAAATGGCCATAAATATGCCATGTAACGGTTATACTTTTTGTCATGTTTACATACAGCTTTTTCCCCAAGAGAAATCAGGTGATTGTCAGAGAAAACACTGTTTACTGAACTGTCTCACAGTTACAAACATTCAGCATTCAATATCCAAAGTGATTAAGCACGTTATTGTAGGAAAAAACTATACATAAAAGTACTGCTACGAGAATTGCAAGAAGGTCAAACAAGTTCAAAGAAGGGCAGATAGGAGACAAGTCAAAATGAAAAAGAAGGTAAGGAGAGGAAGCCTTTTTGTGGTTTTTCATCTCTCAACAACCATCCTCCTTCTTGTCTAATTTTCTGTAGCATTTGTTGTAGAGCACAGTTAAGGACCCCGTATCTTTGGGCTAACCATCTGAAAATAAAAATCAGTCCTGACCCAACCTCCCACCCCAACATGAAGAAAGAAGTATGAACTGCCAGTGCACAGGCAGGACAGTGCATCTAGTAAAATACCAACTTGTGTCAACCAAATAGAAGCATACAGAAACCACTGGCTAAATTAGACAAAGTGTAAAGAAAACACAAACAAGTATATGAGGACAGCGTCAGAAACAGTTGACAAAAAAGCGTAACAGGAAAAGAAAAGAATGCAAAGGATAGTAAGAAACATTTAAGTTAGGGGAAAGCTGAGGAGCAGGAAACCCTGCCACAGAATAAAAGCAGGTCAAAGCACTAACACTCTGCATTTCAGCTGCAATCAAGCAGGTAACAAAACTGTGGCAACAAAGAGGTAAAACTTCAAATTAGAATAGGGGAAGAACAAGGCAGAGAGTATGTAGATGAACAGAGCTTCTTTAAATCATCTGCTGAAATTACAGGCTGATGAAATTCATCCTAGTGTATAAAAACATGGGCTGAAGTAATCTCAAAGCCATTAGCAGCTTTTTTTTTTTTTTTTTTCTTGAATACCCACGGAGGACACACCTGCTGAAGGACAAACACGAAGTACATCTTTCACAGAGGAAAGAGCCAGGAAATCACATGCTAGACAGGTACAACTCAATTCCCAGAAAACCACAAATAATCAAATTATTTGCAGGTACCTGAGATGACAATATGGAGATGGATAACAGCAAAGCTAATTTCTCAAGAACAAAAGTATGTCAAACCGATCTTTCTTCTACAGCTGGACAATGTGTCTTGTAAATAGGGTAAAAGCTGTGGATGTAATAATGCATCTGAGCCATAGCGAGGCATTTCACACTGCCTTATGCGATGTTTTCACCAACAAGTTCTGTAAACATGGTTTCTACATGGAAGATGGGATTAAGCTAGAATTAACCTGATCATAAAACTGAGGTCAGATGGTACTGGGTAGCATTTAGTATGTCTGGAGCTCTGTAAAGGCATGCACACTTGTTCCAATACCGATCAATCCTTCCATTAACAACATCAGTGACAAAACAGAGAACTCGTTTATAAAATTCACAGATGACATCGAGTGACAGGAGGTGCCAGCATGTTAGAGGGTGTGAGCAGAGCTCAGGTGACCTTACACTGGAGAGGTGAAGGACAGGATTTTACTCAGGAAAGAGAAGGGAAAAACTGTTAGCCAAGGGTATGAAACTGCACAAATAGCAGATGAAAAAAATCCAATGAAGCAGCACCTCCGAGGACAACAGCAGAACCTGAATCACTGAAACCACGCTGCTGCTTCTGTCTTTAGTGATCCTTTCTGTACATTCCTAAAGCTGTATGCTCCTGATCTTACTTCCAGGGGATCCTGCCTGCACTTCACACATAAGGGTCTGTCAGAGGGTTGTTCATGGTCTACGCTCATTCCTAGGAAGGCTGGAGTTGCTCAGAAAGCCATAAACAAAAGACTGGTTCTAGACCTTTTAATTTTCTCTGTATGTCCAGAGGAAATGTACTTTTCAATTACTGCATTTTCAAAATTGTGGGGAAAAGTTTATCATTGTTTTTAAAAATAATGTTCTCTATAAAGCAAATTACAGCAAGTTGTTATGTACATAACAAAAAGATTAAAAATCTTTTTTAAATCAAATCAGAAAAAAAAGCAACCTATACCTACTGTTTCCAGATCAACTGCATACAGTGACTTCATACACAGCACACAAAGATTTCACATCACTTCCTTGCACTTCCTAGGCCACAATAACGGTCCTGTTTTTGGTTTGTGGACTCCCAGAAAAAAAGTTAGATTTGCATATTTTAATTAATAATGGCTGGCAAAGCACAAAGCAATAAATGCCTCCCAGGCATGCAATAAAATCTGAGGTTTATTTACAAATTAATACAGTGCGTTAATATTGCATTATTTAATCTCAACTGCTGTTAATTAAAGCACCAATCACAATCAACTGGGTACATTATAAAATAAATAACAGTATAAGAAATAATTTTAACCTTCCTTCATCAGCATTAAAAACATTTAGCAGAAAAGGAGAAAATTGTTTTTTCTTTTTAAACACGTACTTTAAAGCCTAATATGCAAATCTAAAACATCAGCATTCACATTGTTATTGACACTGATGTTTGTAGCTCTTTGGATCTGCTAGCTCGGGAATATTTATGTAACTTACTTGATATCTCCCTGCTTTTGTAATCCTTGTGCAGTAAGAAAATAGTGCTAAAAGATGGTAATAAAACCAAAATTTGTTGACCCTAGCATACCAAACAAAACATACCTTAAGTCCAAGACACTCGGTATATCAATAAGACTACTCATGAAAGTAAAATTTATGTGACATTATTTGTAAAATGTGTGGGAGCTGGTAATATTCTGTATTTTGAGGCACTAGCTCAAACTACTGTTCAAATTCCACAAACACACAAGATGACTGATAGATAACTTTGCCTGGAAAAGACAGCACAAGATTCCATAACCTTAAATACTCAATTTATGAATGTTTTAAAATGTCCTGGACAGTTTTACACAGGGAATTAAGGAGAAAGACAGAAATATACTCCATACGATAAAAGTCCTTTAATACAGACGAGCATATTAATGCAGAATGAGGAAGCTGAACTAGCTCTATAAAGCCAACGCATCCACATTTCCCATCCAAGACCATCAGCTCTGCAAGAGAAACAGTCTTTCACTAATCCCAAAGAGAGAAACCCACATGTATTTGTAATCTAACAATTGAGTATTTTATGTAAACAAAAATTGTATAACTGAACTCAAGTCATTCATACCACATCGGTAATTTAATATAAATCTACACTGCAGTTATGATAATTAGAAGACAACATTTTCTGTGTGTTTTCAAAGCTCATAAAACTGCTTTAACTTCTGTATTTCACTCTTTCCCAAACATGGTAATTGGTCTTTTCTGGGCATTTTGGGCATGTAGCAAGAGTCCAGCCACTGCTCTATCACCAAAATGCTTCCCAGCACCCTGGCAGGGGGCAGAGCAGCTGGCATGACCAGTTTGCATACGAGGTTGGCCCTCTTACTTATATAGTTAAACAAGGACCATTTGAAAAGCAAAACACTATCTAGGTAAAAACATCATGATTTTAGTGAAACATTTATTCCAACAATGCAGTTTGCTTTCTAACCATATTTAAATCACACAAAATCCTGAAACACTAAAACCTGCTTAATATCTTGTCTGCCTTTGGGCATATATTCTAGTACCTGTCACGTAAACACAAGCATTTCTGTTTATCAGTGTGTTCCCAACTCCCATTTTTCTGTGGTGTTTACAAAACCAAGCACCTCCCCACCAGTGAGGATGGCTCCTGAGCAGCATGGATCTTCACTTCTCAACTCACTGCAGGCATTAAAGATGGACCAGCAGTTAATTTTCAGCACTGAGCTAAATGAGCCATCATCCCTCAGTGCAGATGACGATATCAGTTTAACCATTCATAATAATCTTAGTCTTCCATCAGTTCTTCAGCAAGCTGACCTGCATCTGTGACTCAAGGTTTATTTATTTCAAACCCTTTGGCTTCAGTCATTTGTTTTCCATGTATTTATTGAATGTGCAAAACACACAGAGACACACTCCTCAGCTGATAGGAGCTGACCTAATGTTCATCAGACTTTCAGTTGCCTTAAAGCAGATAAAGGCTACTGCTCTGTATGGCTTCTGTTAGCTCAGGTATCTCCAGTCTTCCTTTGAGCAGCTTTGTATGAAGTCTGAATAATGCTGCAGTGTTTACAGGAAAGCCAGAGAAAGCCATGCTCAGGAGAGCATGCTGTACTGAGTTTATTGTTTTAGACTTGAGGCCGTAATTATTTCATAATATTAACTTCCCTGATTCCCCAAAACACATTGAAAGAACTGTAATTTATCTACTTATTTTGCACAGCTGGCTTTCAAGACAAATTGACAGAACATGAAGCAGCAAAAAGTTAGGGAACAGCAAATAAACGAGGAGAAAGCTGATATATTAACTACGCAGCGCCACGTGGAGAAACAGTGTGTGTCTGCAAAACATATTACTCCACCATTATTTATAAATACTGTATTAGTGTGTTTTCACTGCTTCCACCTGCAGAGCTATTTTGGGTGGTCATTCAGTTCAGGGACCTCTGCAGAACCAGGCAATGAAATCTGCTTTCTGTTAGCCTAGAACAGCAGTTGTTGTTACATGCACTAAGGGGAGTGAGCTCTTCAAAAATGCCAGGCTGAAGAAGTCTGAGTGCCAAAAATCTTTCTGAAATTCAATGGGAATGAAGTGCAGAGGTCCCTAAGTTCCTCTGATTTGCTGGCAAACTTAATAGATTTTAACAGAAGAAACATATAGGCGTTTTAAGTTTTAAGATATTCATGAAATCCTTTCATATACCTCAGTCCCATATGCAGCCCATAGTACCTTTTAGCACATCCTACACAAAGAAAGAACTTTCAGAAATCCAAATGATTTTCCTTCATGCTACATGTAAAGGGGTTATTTATTACAAATAAACACACTTCCTAGAAACTGTTCTGTCCACCATATGCAAGGACTGGATTCTGCATGGCCTGGACACAAACAGAAGGAAGGTGGTAAAGGCTTAGAGGGAAGCATCGTACCTGCAGGTTTAACAAAACTGCTCCGATTCTCATGGCCTCACTGACTTCAAGGCTGTACATCAGCTGGGGAAAGCGGGGAGGGCTCTGGTTGTTGGGTGGGAGCACCTCAATGTAAACAGTAGTAATAGAGCTCCTGAAATGAGACAAAAAATGGAAGTCAAGATCAATAAATCAACAACCAGAAGGCAACCAACAGAGTCTGTTTTATTCACTGTGTGTTCTGTAAGCCTAATAATCTCCCTTTGCTCCTTTAAAAGCTTCATGACGTACTTTCCATTCCACATCAAAAGTAAACCAGGCTGCAATATTAAGCGAAGAAAAGCTAAATCATGTCTTTAAAAATAAGCCCAAGTGTTATTTTAAAAACAAAACTATAAAATACTGCAGCACACACCATGTAGAAAGAAGCCTCATAATCCTCTGGTGACACTGCGTCCTCTAGAAGAGGATGAGGCCTTCTGTGGTGGTAGCTCCTCCTGCTACGCACAGCACCCACCCCTGGAGCATCTGGGCTGTTGTACAGTTTGCTACCTTTCTTTGGAAGAGGGGGAACTGAAGAGTGATGTACGCAACTCTAAAAGGCCGCATCAGTATGGTGGTTCACACGGATGAACCCAAGTTCGCCTCAAGAGTGAGCCATGGCAACACAGGAGGCTTCAAAAGCCACCTCGGAGACCTGGCAAAAACTCTGACTGCTCCGAGCCACTGACCCAAATGTAACACAAAAAACAAATTGAAAGCTCTTGTGGGAGTGCTTACACCCACTGCAGACCCCGTGAAACCATTCTGTAGACACACTTAATATTCAAATGCTCTGAATTTAGAAAGGAAGCCAGAAATCCCCCAGAAGTTGAGAGGAAGATTTAGTGTTTGTCCTAAAGGGAACTTTCTCTTGCATCCTTGTTCAGTAATTCCATCTGCCTTCTCTTCTGAACGTTACCACAGCTCCACTTCCCAAGGCACTTCCCCAGGAGGGCAAGTGCTATGCTGCAGGTGCGACTTAATCTGCATAAGCCATTAGACAAAGTGGGTAAATCCTGCAGCCCTACAGCTTCAGAAAGAAACCATTAAGGACAAATGAAGGTATTCCTAATTTTCAGAGGGAAGAAAAACCACACCAGGTGAACATGCAGCAAGCTCGAGGGCTCTGATAATGAATCACAAATGCCTCTGTGGGTGACTGCACCACAGTGGTCCCCAGGGGCACATCCAGAGGCACGGCGTGGGTCCTGTGTGTGCCCACAGCTTAGCACCATCTCGAAGCTCAAACTGGGCCACCACCAGCCATGTCATGATGTCCTAAGCAAACTTCTGTCTGTGCCCAAAAACCCTGCCTTCTGTTAGTTGGCAGCCCCGAGCTTCTCAGGGACAGTGATGTAGCAGCCAAGTTGCTCTGGAGCATGTGCCAGATTTGGGTCCCTCTACAAGTGCAGGGGATGAGGAAATCTCACTGCTTTGGACATAACAGCCAGCCCCTTATTTGATTTAATTACACTTTAAACAAGTATGTGACTTCCACTGAAATGCATTAGGCAGTAACAGAGCTTTACCATCCACCATTCCACGCAGGGTTTAAGAAGCTGAATTTGCAGATGTCTGTCTCATGGGATATAAACAAACCCAGCATATCCAGGGCAAGATGGACACTTAAAACTACAGCAGACTACTCAGTGTACATTACTTCCTTATAAACAGTCACTTTCTAAAATTTCCTGCCTTCTTGTCTGCTTTAAAATACTCCATCATATCCCACTAACATTTCTGAATCTATGTTCCACACTTAAATCATTGGAATAAAATAATACCATCACCAAATGATAGAAAACAGACACAATAAACGAGCAGGCAAAATATCACTAGAGAACCCAGACCTGCGTATTTTCTTGAGATAGCTCTTGACTATGTTTGATATGCACATCCAAATAGTTGAGTTTTAGTGTGCATTTTTCTTCCACTGCTGGATATTTAATAAAAAAAATGTTGTTTTTTATCATTTTTTCCTGATCCTGCTACATTGCAATAATGCCCAGGATGATTCATTCTCTATCAGACTCTTTAAAAAATGCTTTCTGTTCACAACAGTAAACAAATTTTCTTCAAATCTTTAAGATAAAATCACAAAAGTAAAACACTAGCAGACTGCAAACAAAAAGCACTACAGTATTAAATGGCTTTTTTTTTCATTTTCAATCAATTTTTGATTAGTGCTCTGCAACGTTACCCATTCCTTTTCTGTTATATGAAGGCTTTTTAAGCAGTTCACAAAATCTAGTTTATGAAAAAGGAAGGAGACAGAGCTGAGCCTTCTAACGACTGCAGTAGATGTTTTAACACTGCAAGAACAGGGGAACGTGCTGAAAACAGAACAGAGCTCAGAAGTGAAAAATGCTCACACAGATGCACAATACAGCTTTTACGCTACTCCAGCTAAACGGTAATACAAAGAAAGCACGGCCAACAAGTCACTGAGATTGTGTCACTGAATCTGCTTCAGCTTCTGCATGCTTTCTACATACAATTGCATTATATACTGTATAATGAATATATCTGTATATGTGGACTGACTGATCTTTGGCCACACCATCTCTGCATATGCAGGGCAAAGAGAAATTGCCCTTTTCCACTGGACATTTCAATAATCTCATGATCAAATAGTTCTAGATTGTACTTGGTCTGGCGGATTGCTGTTATCACTAACTGAAGATTCCGCTGAATCCCAAAAATTTTGAGGAAGATAGTGAAAAGGCTAAGGTCTGAACAAAAGTTGTTTGATTTTACAAATGCTTTTCCTGCTTTCTCAACAATAGATACCAGTAATTACTATATGCTTAACTATAATTTTAGTTTCAAAAAGCTAAACCGCATCTTTAAACTTTTATACTTTGAATATATTTACAGTACTTAAGGGTACTTAAATATACTTCAAATTGAATTAGTGACACCTGCTATTGACGGAAATTTTAATAATACTCTACATAATACCTTATTTTATGCACAGTTACGTGCCAAGAATTTAATGTGTCATGCAAGAGCTACACAGAATTCATTTCAATTTAAATTTGTGCTCACGGAGGCCACAGAACTACTGCTCTTGAGCCAGCTTTCCCTGTTTAGCTTTGCTTTGTGCAGAAGCAAAGCGATAGTTGAAACGACTAGAGTCAGCCTGGCATGTCCTGCAGCAAGATGCGTATTTGGGGAAAAAAAATAAGAATAAGTTTGATATTTGAAATTAAATCAAACCCCTCATTTTATTTATTTACTTATCTTCCCATCTTCCTGCCAGCAGAAACATAAAAGGTGCCTAGACCTAGCCCATTCCTAGAGGTCACAGTTGCCGGTCACTGCCTCCACCACACAGCAGCAGGGCACCTAACACAACGTGATGGCTTTGCAGATGAAGCTGCAACAATTTCCTGCAACCCCAACTGCGAGGTTCTAAGCACATCACAAGGAACTAAAATTTAAGAGATGCAAAAGGACAGCTTTAAAGACCTTTGAGCTCACAAGCTCTTCCTGGCTCTTCTTTGCGTAAAATCAGAGGAGGCTGCCTCAAGCCCTCCAGCTCACGTCTGGTTTTCCAGCCTTACAGAAAAACAACAGCAGGAAGGAAGCAAAATCTTTTTATCCAAATGTACCTTACCAAGCAATAGTTCTCTGCATAGTTCCTTCTTTCATGCCACCTTCACACTTGGGAAATCTCCAGTGCTTCCCCCCGTGATTTTTTCACCTTCACTGATACAGAGGAAACAGCCCTGGGCCCTGAAAACACCTGAGCAGCCCTGGGGCTGTGCATGGCAACTATCGGAGTGCTGCTTGGGTGCAGTGGTCTGTGGAACACCCCCTAAAAGCTATGGAACAAATTGTGTGTTGTAACTCCCTAAAATGAGAGACAAGCAGAAGCTGTAATGAATGAGAGGTTTTCCACTTCTGAAGATTATTACATTAATGACATTTTAAGAGGATGAAGCACAGCCTCATGACATGTATCAGCAGAAGTATCTATTTTAGGACAATAAAAAAATTCCCCAAAAGGGAACTGACAGCAATCAGCATTGTATTAAAGCAGTAGCTACCACTGCTGGTTGGCCATGCTACTGCCTTCTGAAGTGGCATTAATGACTTTGGTCTGCCACTTGAATACTGTTCCTACCACACAGCCACAACCGCATAATCATCCACAAATCTTCTCTTCACCACTGCTAACAGCCCACTATCAGCTACCCTAAGAGATGGCATATCAAGAAAGCAAGCAACAGAGAGAAAGGAAGAGAAAAATTCAGTCAGAAAACCGTGTTACCAGATGGTAGTGTTATGAACAGTCTAACAGTCAGAATACTTCAGCGAGTGGAAACATAATTGTAAAGTATCTGCAGAAGAGAATGAGCTGCTTGCTTGAATAATATTGACAGAAGCAACAGGTCCTGAAGAAAAAACGATACACAAAAGTGAACTTTTATGTAGACTTTCCTTTTTACACCCCTCATTTGAGGAGGAGAATAGTCTGTGGGAGATTAAAATGCTGGAGACTACAGTTCCTCTCAGTCACCCTCTTTGGACAACAAGGTTTACACATTATCAATACATGACACCAGACAGAGAACCAGAGCCTCTTTTATGCACCTCCCTGCACCCTCGTGAAATGAGGCCACCTATGCACTATCGCCACCTGCAGAATACAAACTCAAAAGAAGCAGGTAAGTTGGACTTGATACCTTTGGCTTTTTGAACATGAGAGCATCCTGTTGTGCCCACAGTAAACCTGCAGACTGCTTTCACCTATCAGCTGGTGGAGCACAGAAATAATTCTGCCAGTTAGAATTAAGGTCTCAGGAGCGGTACCGCTCACCACGGGCACAGCTTGCCAGGTATGTCCCCAGCACGCTAAGTCTGGGTGCCCTTGCACACCCTATGCCTGTACAGGTCTCCAGCTCAGCAACCAGACTGTTCCTGAGACTTCCTTCTGCATCGCATCTCACTTCTTTCTTCCTTACATCCCTTCACTTCCATTTCTTATAACAAATGTGCATGCACAACTACAGCATATCATTTGAACTTTATTAAAAACAAACAAAAAAACCCAAAAACAAACAAAAAAACCACATTACAAGCAAATGAAATAATGAAACCTGTGTACTACATGAAGAATACAAGTAAGGAACAAAAATTGAAAGCATTAAACTGATTTCTAATATGACACTTGTCCAAAATGAGACCCTTAGACACCAAACAGAACACACCGAATCTTATTCCAGTTCCAAGTTACAGACATAAGGGTGTGTTCACACTAATTACACACTGCTAAGCACTGATTAAAAATTATTTTCATTATAAGATGAATTACCTTCTCTGCGCAGGAGGAGCACTATCAGATGCTTTGACAGTGAGAGCATAGGATCGCCCCACTGACAGTACAACTCCTGGAGCAATGGTGATAAGGCCTGTTCGGTCATTGATGATGAAGTCTCCCTGATCCCCAGCCAAAATTTCATACACTATCTGTCCATTGGGTCCCTCGTCCGCATCTACAGCAGTGAGCTGCAATTCAAAACCAGAATGTCAGCACGCACGATTCAGTGTTGTATTTTAGTAGTTTTGTTTTGTTTTGTTTTTTTAAATAAGGCAACTTGTTAGGGGTAGAAGAAGCAAAGATGAGAGAAAACTTGAACACCTGTAACATATGCTGTGATTTCTAATTACAGTACAAGAAGGATATAGTTTAAGTGAAGGATAATAGGTGGAAGAACATCATGGAGCACAGAAAAACTGCCTACCTAAGACTGCAAGGAAGTTATTTTAAGATACGAATTAAGAAAACTAATTGAGACCAAGTTTACTTTCTGTAGAGTGGAATTTATAACACTTCTTTAAAAAAGGTGGGGGAAGGGGTTACTTACTGTGTTGAAAATCTAACAAGAGGATCGCATTTTATCACTGAAACTTCCCGTCCCTCTCTACACTCTTCAAGGTGGCAGCCCTGTTACTGCCAGGAAGCCTAACATCCAGGTTTTGCATTACAAGCCCCCGCTGGGTGGAACTGGAGAACAACACTCACGTTACTCCTGGGTGCACGCACCACAGAAGGAGCCAAGCAGAAGGGGAATGGCATTTGTTCCATATGGACACAACCAGGCACCTCACACACATGCAAGGCCCCTCTCCCAGGGCACCACCGATCTAAAGGCTCTGCTTATAAGCGGCTACCTCAAAGCTGGGTGACAAATGCAACTGAGCATGTACTTCCACTTTGCTGCCTCGACACCATCTCTCTACTGGGCCTGTACTTACTCTCACATGAAGCATTTCTGCTATAGAATTGTACAATTCTGGCTCTCAGGATGAGAAAATTCTAAGGCTCAATGTTTTAGACACAAATTATAAAGATGAGCATGCATTTATTACCAGTGGAATGAGGAGGTTTGTATCCTGCCCTCGGAAAATGCAGCAGGTTTATCCCACTTCCATAGCATACAATGTGAAAAACATTTACACACGCACACAGCCAGAAAAAAAAAATCTCTGTTTGTTTCTAACACACAAACATCTTTGTTTGCTTCTAAACAAGTGTCAAGTACTAACAACTCTTACTACCACGCCACAAAGCAAATATATCTAGCAAGCAGATTTCAAATTAGACCTCTGCCCTAATGTAGTCAGCAATATGCATCCACGCTTCAGTCATGCCAGTTGACAGCCCCGTCTCTAAGCTTATCCCTTTTACTGCCTCTCATCTTCCTTTCTAAGGAGTAAATACAATTTATTCTGTGTACGACATAATCACACAGCACACACTGCCCATCAGTTGAGTCTTATTACACAGCTTAACATTGCAAGTTAATTAGTGTCTTCAGAAAACAAAAGGGAGCAGCAGCTTTCTGTGCAATTTAGGGTTGAATCTCCAAAGTTGACACGAACTACGCCAGAACCTCTGGACTTTCTACGGTGAGCATCTGCTTCCCGTAGGTGTCAGCTTGATGACAGACACACTGGTTTCACAGGTGGCTCTTCGTTACCCTGGAAAGAGCAGGGGATGACATAACGCCACCTGACCAGTGCTTGGACCCTGAAGGAGGCCACAGCAGGTGGTGGCAGAGCTGCCCGTGCACCCAGCTGGCCCAGCTACCAACAGCAGCGAGTGGAAATGAGAGGGAATGACGGCCCAGCAGGCTCCTGGTGGGAAATGGCGAGAGGCAGCAAAAGGTATGGCAGCAGGGCCCTCCTGGGACGTACAAACCAGTATGAAATCTCAGCCTCAGAAATGATTCCCTGAAGAGAGGCTCCTGAAGAGAAAATGAAAAAACCAGGTATGCAGCTTCTTGAAAGGTCTCTGCTGGCCTGTCTGCTTTGGCTTTCTTGACATGAATGCTCATGCCAATGGGCAGACTTGCACAAGGACTGCAGGTCCAGGATTTCAGGGTAACACACAATGACATGAAACTTTAGCGATGACCATGAAGCTAATGGCAGGATCAACAGACGTTAACTCAGCCAGGGGCAGCCAACACAGCAGGCTAAATGTCTTGTCTGTCAGACACCGTTTTCTCATCCTCATGGCACTCTCAAAGCTGACAGGAGTGCAGACAGGTAGAGAAACCCATTCAGGTCTCTGCTGCGTTAGGATATAATGTAATCTGTTAATCAATATAGCATCACACTCAAGCTTCAGCCGGTTGCAGCCTTTCAGAGCACTATCTACAACTTTCAAAATACCTTTGCCCAAGATAGCGAAGAACTCAGAGCAGGTATGCTGAAAACAAGTGATTTAGGTGTATTAGCAAAAGTAGGGTTTATCTTCTTTATTAGCAGTGCAAACTGTTACTGCTGTTGGGGACTGAGTTACTATATAGAGGACCAGCCATTTGTAACATGGAACAGGTTGTACACAGTACTCATCGACTGAAAACTATGTTAAGTTCCTTTTCTGCTGAAGCAATCACTGTTGTACTTCTTTCACATACAGCACAGTGGTCCAAAGCTAAATTCCAACAGAAATATTTAACTTCAAGCTGCTTTTATTTTATTTCTTTGTCAAGGATGCTTCCTTCCAACAATCCGACTATCATCGTTGCACCAGAACTATTACATTTTAATTCATTGAGGCATGCCATAATACATTGCACACAATATAAATAGTTGAAATATTTCAAAAATCATGAAAGAGATTCCTCTCAGAATTAATATCCACATGGTATCTCTGCAGAACATCTCTTATTTTCTATTTTCTTTTGAAATTCTGAAGAAATCCTATGAAGACTGCACTTTCACCACATGCTATACATTCCATCCATACAATGTCTTGACATATAAAACTCTGACTTAAAATGGTCTGACTGAATCAGCACACCAAAGCTGAGCATACAAAACACACTTTCTGTGCCCTCGTGGTTTAGAACTTAAACCCCCTCGTTCAACTGTTTTCCTTGATCACTCATTCTAGAGTTTCTATACATATCTGCATGCATTAATTAACCTTGCAAAAAGTAGCTTTCAAACTAAGTGACATAGTTAAGAAGTGTTGTAATAACCTTCTCCACTTCAAGAGTAACATGCACAAAAAGACAAATAAAAGCTTTATCCAAAATACAGGTCCTAAGCTTTAATCACAGGATTTGGAACGTGTCCAGTTTCTACTGTGACGACATGAAAAAGGAAATTAATAGACTACACAAATACATAAATTAATAAGGTTAATTAAACTTACAAATACTGAGTGCTTGAAAAGATAAGTGTTTTGAATAACGTTTTAGGGGCAAAAACATTAATAAAAATAGAATTAAAGTTTTACAGCTGCCATAATATATAATTCTATAAATTCATCTCCAGCTGTCCAAGACCGATACAGCTTCATAGTTAACAAGATTTTAGAAATCCATCTAAAATATATGCGAAAAAAGTACAAAACGTGATTTTACTTTCCTAAGAAACTTTTTGCATCCAGCAGTATCAGTGTCATTACATTAACATGTAACGCACTGAAAGTTTTGCAAAATGGGTGCATATTCTCCTGCAGCAAGAAGTGATTTACTTGGATGGAAGAGCAGATACATAGCGACTGCTATTATCAGCCCTAAAGCTTGTAAAGACATATTCCTGGTTACCGCATGAACTCTGTTCAGGCTTACTTTACGCATGGAGGAAAATGGACTTCAACTGCTGACCTTCTGCAGCAACACTTCCAGTGAACCTGCCCTGAACAGAGTGACTACCAACCTTTCCAGCAACTCTACGTTTTTCATGAATTAAATGTTCAGCAAGGTTAATCTGACCTGTGCTGACCTCAAGTGAATCCTGCAGAAACTGCATCACGCCACTTTGACTCCCAACAGCTGTCCTTGAAGTAACTGTTCCAGTCAAGCAAGTGCAAGGCTCCAGAGTCACATTTGTACATGTATATGATGTAAAAAGGTGGCAAAGAAAAACAACAGATGCAATCTGGAGGAGCACAGCAGTGAAAAACGCTGGGCTACCAGAACTTAGACAGTAGCTACTTACAGTCCTCATTTTTCTTGGGCTTGGGATACAACTCGGCCATTAGTTTAACTAGGAAAAGCAGTAATGAGCTGCTGTATGTTGGGGGCAAATGGGATGTGCAGATATATGTCAACTTGGGCAAACAAAATATAACACTAACGCGGAGAAGGTCAAAGTTCTTTTTCAATATTGTTTCTTCAGAAATTTCATTAAATCTCTATGCATTACTTGGACACAATCCACCAGTGCACCGACAGCCCACAGGGCCGACCGTGCCCGGGGTGCCTCAGGCCTGTCAGAGCTCAAGAAGCACTCGGACAATGCTCTCAGACATGGGGGTTGGGTTTTGGGTGGTTCCGTGTGGCACCAGGACCCAGACTGGATCCTTGTGGGTCCCTGACAACTTGGGACAGTCTGTGATTCTATCATTACACTTCTACTCCAGTTTATCTGTGTATTTACCAAGAAATGCAAACATAAACCAGTTTTATTTTCTCTTTCTGTAAATAACGTTTACTTTGTAGCTCAGAATTAATATGCTGATGGACTGAAGGCAAAAGGTTGCAAATAACCACATAAATAAAACCTTAATTGTGAATCAGAGACAACTTGTATAAAGATCTCTAAATTGTTCTGAGGGTTAACAGCAAGATGCATGTTTAAGAGCTGAAAACTATGAGCATCTGCCAAGCTGCAAATACCCAAACACAGCTCTAATACATAATTTAGTATGTGTCTGTATGCAAGGATGGCTTGAGTCACATTTGCATACGTGCATGGAATGAAAAGCAACTATTTAAAAGAGAGAAAATGATCTAGTACTGCGAAGTCACATTTAAGGCAAGAGCAAAACAGTCCCAGATGAGCTATTTATTTAATAGCTTTAAATAAAATTTGTCCCCATGTATAGCTGCAACAATTGTTGCTGTTCAAGACTAATTCTACTGTGAGCAAAAGATAAGTGACAGAAAATTTACTGCCTGCAGCCTTGCCATGTTTTATCTCTTTGCTTTCACTTTTGACCTTCAGCACAATGGACATTTATGCTGAGATGTGTGAAGTTAAATGCCCTGTTTAACCAACACCTGGGGCGCTTCCTCTAAATTACTGTACATAGGTGGTATTAGAATTGTTTTGACTCGCACAAGGTGAACTGGTAATGTACTAATCTACTGTAGAGAGTATTGTCCATTTCCAGTCAGAGTTATTTAAGTGTTCTTGTGAGAGTACCCCTGAAAGCCCTGTGAGTGTGGAACGTACCTTTGCAACATAAAAACAGATAGAAATTAAGATACAGAAAAATTAAAATTGGTTATTTTGGTTCCATAAATTTAAATTTAAGGGAAAACCAGCATATACTTCTCAAGGGCAGTTCAGGATTTTTTTCTGTTGTTTACAGTACGTACAAAAATTTCCAGTGTAGTTTTCATAGGCCAAGGAAGTCTTGTACCCTCAGGCAAATTTACGCAAAGATCTAGGTAGCTTATTCTTTTTGCTGTCTTCTGTCCCTTCTCAGTTCTCATTTTCTTGCTTAATATTCACTCTGCCCTGCATAGTTTATGCTGTATACAGAAACGAGACATGCCTAAAGAAAAACCCAAACAGAGTGAATTGAAATGACTTATGTTATTGCATTATGGCTGCATACGCCACTTATCAATAAGTAACTGGCTTAAATGTCTGAATCACCAGGAGCACAAAGCTCTAACACAAAAATGGAAAACAGGATAGAAAAACTGTAACAGTATACAAAGCTAGAATTAAGTATTTCAATAGGTTTAATATTAACCAATCTTTCTAGTGATAACAATTATTTACCACACATTTAACTGTTTTAAATGACAGATTTCTCAAACAGCTACTGTGCTTCTCACAACAGGGAGCACAATAAAGTACCTACAAAAGCAGAGGGAAAAAAATCAGGTAAGAAATTCTCAAGCTGAAACAGACAGAATATACAGGAACTTAACTGAGAAGACATTCTCCTCAACCAAGGACTTGAACAGTTTTGCAAGTATTCAGAGCAGAGAACTGACATTAAAACTTCCCAGACTCTCTTGTCAACATGCCAACGGTCAAGGAGCACAGATTTCATGCTCTGCTCCATAACTAACTTCAGGAAATGGACAGAGGTCCCACTAAGGGGACAAGATCCTCTGCTGGGACACACTCCAACTTTTGACAAACACAAAACCTGCACCTAAGCCTTGTAACTGGAACACAAAAGGCAAATTACCCACCCAAACCACCATGCTCCCAGATAAAACCAGTGCAACACAGCAACACAGAATGTCTCTGATTCTGTTCTTTTCCTCGCTTCCACTAAAGGCAATACGGGAAAGAAAGAAAATTCCTTGCTCTGACCACCCATTAAAATTGTTTAAAAAACCAACAACAACAACTAAAACACTGAATTTCACTCATTATAAATTCTTTCCTCTGTTACTTGTGGTTACTTTCAAGCAGAGCCTAAGGAACTTTTTGTTTATTTGTTTTTTAAATGACAAAAAAAAAGTGTACTAGACAGGAAATACAGAATCTATTTTTTTTCCCTCTTTTTCCAGGAGTAAAATCAAAATTATTTCCCACAAAATGGGACAACATGAAAGTACCAAACTTGTTGGTTTTTTTTTTTGTACTTTTCCATGCAACTCCACTCAGCAAACAAAAATAAATTTTAATTTCATATTACGCTTAGTATAACAAAATCAAAGTGGCAACTACATGAGAGCAATTACACTGCTGTAGTATAAATTAACAATATTTGTTGAAAGATGACATGCTTCATAAAAGAAATACTTTCTTGATCATCCTGAAAATACAGTCTGAGTAGAAAGCTAAGTGCAAGCCAGTGCTTATGTGTAAATGTGCTTATGAGATTATGTTATACTTCTGTTTCCTTGAATGAAAGACTCTGCCTAATGCCTGGGCACAACAACAAGGCATTCAACTTCCCAAATGCCCCAGCAGAATGAAATCACGATTGCTGGCATTATGAAAGTATTCAGAACTGACACCTTTTATGTCCATTATTTTACAAATTCAGACCATCTGGCAATGGAAGATTATTTGAAAAGCAACCTCCCTCCCAAAACAGCCAGAATTATCTACCCTCCAGCTTAGACCATATTATAAACCCTGATCATCTGGAAGTAACCACATGTTAGGGTTGCTAACAGAAGTATGGAGAAAAGAAAAACTAATTGTCTTTTAGCAAAGGCAAGCTTAAAGCCTGACTTGCCCAGCACACTCATTTCCAGCTTCAAGATGCCGTTCTAGAAAGGACCTGTTCCACATCTATTTCATGCACTAGCAAAGTTCAAACACTTTGTCCAGTATTTACAGATAAACTTTTCTTCTCACCATTACTGCCCTTACGCTTTTTTGTCCTTGCAATGCTTCCAATCTGCTTAATTTCATTGGTCTGATTGATGCAAGCAGTTACACAGCGTCAGTGTGGGAAGGCAAAGGTAACTGCTGCAAGGGGTGGTGGAGGAGCAGGCACTTAACAGCTGCTGAGGCTGAACCTGCTCACAGAAGTAATTTGTTACTCCTCTAAGCTATTTTTGGTGGCACAACCTAACGCAGATGGCGTTGCAGAAAATTCTTCTTGCTTTCTCCCAGAAGGAACAATTTACTAAGGAATTTGTATTTGCAGTCCTCCTGCTTTTTGCACATCTACAGGGGCTGCAAATATTTACAGCTGCTCTAGCAAAGAGCATAAGCCCTGAGAACAGCACATTCCCCTTTAAATGTGCACGCACTTTAGCATTACAGTGGTTTTAGTAAAGCACAGTAGATGTTCTACTTCACCTCGAGCATCACAAGAGAGCCTGGGTAGGTCAGAGCATCCTTCAGGCCAACCTTGGCCACAGAAACCATTCCCTGTTCACATGTGCTGAAATCTCATTTAGCAACAACTTCTGCATCGTGTTTCCTGGTACATGCACCTCCACCAAGAAGAAGAACCATTTAGACACTCTGACAACTTAAATCCACAGTACACTACTTAACCTAATGCCCTACGCAACAAAGGCTATATAACCACCCCAAGGACTTATTTTTGGAGCACTTATTCTTTAGGGGAAAAAATAAAATAAAATTTCAGATCCCTGTACCTTAAACAGCAAATGAATACCTAGTAGTCACAAAATTAATATTTTAATAGATGGAGTTAAATGTTGCAAAGGGAGCTCCTGATGTCAAACCCTACATGTAGCTCCCAAGTGTTAACTGCCTTTTGCTATATTGAACAATAATTATTTTTCTCCACATAGCCACCAGTTCCTGCAAAACTTGAAGGAAGTTAAGTTGGTTCAAAACTTTTGTTTTCCTGCCAAATCTTGTTGAAAATGTTCTCGTGGCTCTCATTGATCCTTTAAGCACCTGTAGCCCAGACTGATGAAAAGGCAAGAATAACACTAACAAAGATCCAAAGGTAACAAATGCAGAAAGCCAATGCAGTTGAAGCAGGGAATATGCCAAAACAGACACTGAACTCTCTCCACATTCCACTAAATTATTGCTGCCTTCAAATGCTAAGTTGCCTATTTATGAAAATAGTATTAAATCGGCTGATGAATTCTCTTCAAATATTCCTGTTGCCTTTTCCTTTTCTTGAATGCTGAACTCACTAACATCATCTTGTTTTCTCAGCCACTAGGCTGGAAACACTCGAGCATGGTTAAGATCTTAGAACATTTACCACCAAAAAAAGTATTTTTTTCAAATAAGTTCAGTGCAACCATGTTTCACCTTCTGTCTGCAACCAAACATAGATCAGCATTTGCAAACATTACTTAAAATGGCTCCCCTCTCTCTCTTCTCCTTAAGTGGACTGGCATTCAACACGTTATGCGCTACCCAAATTGTCCTACAAATAAAATTAAATTTCTGTAGAAACTAAAAGGTTTTATGATACGATAAAACATTTCTGGATATGTACTGGACTGCTCTCCCAATACGTTTTATTTCAACAGCCCTCTAACGTTTTTAATTTTTCCTAGGAGTTAGGAAGTTCAAGAAAATGGCCATCACTCTGACATATCAAGTCTGATGAGAACCAAAAAGGCACATGAGAATTATTATTATTATTATTTTTTATCTTTTGAGGTTTTTCAGATTAAAAACTTTTGCAAAACTTCTGATGAAATAGCTGAAATGCAGGTATACATTTAAGATAGAGCTACAGTTCAGTACTAGCAATTTTTAATAACTATTTAATTAGCAAGGTGGATAAAGATGCACAACCTTTATTTCTAGCTGTTTTCAGTGCATTTTCATCGTGTATTAACAAGACTACACACTATTAACAAAGTGGTTTAACAAAGCTAATACAAAAATGTAAAAAATTACCTTTATAACGCCTTCCCCAGGCCTCATATCTGTATAAATCTTGACATTGTATGATATATTGGAGAAGGTTGGGGAATTATCATTTGCATCAATCACCAGGATATTGACTGTCACTGGGGCACTCTCCTGTACACCATCAGAAGCTGTCATCTTCAGGAAAAAACAAACAAAGAAACTAGGAACATATTTTATTGGTGTATTTTTAAGACAATTCTAACTATAAGTATACAGTATAACAAGTTAAAGTCAGTATTTAGTTTTGCTTTTTTTTTTTTTTTTTATATACCTACAAGTAAATTACAGGAGGATTCAACTAAGCTTGAGCCAGCAGTGTGCGAGACAGAATAAAAGCAAAATGAAAAAGCACCTTGAAAACACCCAATGTCAGAATAGCAGGAGAAACATGAGGGATTAACTGGGGTTTCACAGGGTTGGGGCCAGTCCTGGGCTAGGATATGAGCTGCAGCCCATGGCTAGAAGCAGAGTCTGTCCCCAGCTGCGCTGAACATCTTCGAGGAGCAGGACTTGGCCACAGCTCACAAACCTAATGGTGCAAGTCTCACCTAGGCACCACCACACACACAGGATCTGCTGTCCACGCATGCTAAGCCCGAAGACAGCTTTTTAAGGTGAAACAAAGAGCTGGAGACTTTCTTACTCCACAGGAGAAGATCTCACTTCAAGTGCCGAAAGGACTGAAAACAGGGAGGCACTGTTTGGGAACTCCTGCAGAACAATAGCTTTTCCCAGCATGGACATTTGTGAATTGCTTTAGGGCTAGGATGTTTACTCACTGACTGCTAACTGCCTAAGGGAATACTAAATCCATTAAGCTGGTTGTGGTTTGTGTTAGCCTACTTCCTATACTTTATGAAAACAGAAGCAGAAAGGACATGCAGATATCATGTCCTTAGCTGAGGGGCAAAGAAAAGGTGAGGGTGTCCTCAAAGACCAGGCATGAAGAGGCGATGCAGACTGTGTCATGGGAAGGTGGCAAAGGGCTGGACACAAGCCTGGGACTGTTGAGACGAAGCTGGTATGGGGATCTAAAAAGTTGCTAGCAAAATAAACACACCTATTTTGGAAGAGCACACTACTCCAGTATCAACACCCCATCATCACCTGGTAGTGCTGCTACTTACCCTTCATTCTGTTTGTCTTCCTCTGTGCCATTCTAATAATCTAAAATGATGTTAAAACTAATGATTTTTCAATGCTTGATCTTAATAATGCCTAACGTGCCTTCAAGAGGATTTAGCTTACCGAGAAGGTGTATATCTGCTGGGCTTCTCTGTCAACAGGCTGCAGCAGGGTGAGGTAGCGGGTGATGCCACTCTGAGTCACAGTGAAAAACGTATTGTAATCGTTCAGGAAGAGATGGAGCTGGGGATCCTTGGTCTTCAATTAAAGCAAACAAACAAACAGAAAACTATTATAAATTCATACATAGCATTACGTTTCCAGTTACTGAATGCTTCTAATTAAAACCTAAAAAAGCAGAAAGTAGAATACTCCTACTCCATGAAAGTGTAAAAAAGAAAAAAAAGAAAAAACAAACACAGTGATCTGAAAATCTGACTCTCTTAATGATGTGTTAAAAATATTCTTTAACATATAGAGTAAATAAACCAAATAGTAAACAAATATCTCTATCTGCTAGTTTGAGATGATTTTTTCTTTAAAAAGATTTTAAGCCAGCAGTGAGACACCAGATTCAAGTATTTGTTTTCAAGTATATTAAAAATAAAACAAAACCTAACTTGATTAATGTAGCAATAGCTTTATTGCTGCGTAGTGGTGCAATGGAAGAAGATAATCACACATGATGAAGCATATTGCTAAACTGATACCATTCATATATTTCCTTTGTCTGATGCAATATACTGATGCAAAATTATGTATTTCTCAGTCAATCAGATCAAAACCACAGTAAAGCAATCACAGGATAATTTTCAATAGGAAGTAACATTTATAGTAACAAGAAAAAAAAAAAAAAGGAAGGCATTGTATTTTGTTACTCAAGACTTCCCTAGGTAGCTCGCTGGGAACAGGCATTGTGCATGGAGGGCTCTGCACACGGCTGGCCAAGCAGGGAGAGTGAAATTCATTTTGGAGCAAATTGGACCTCAGCTAACAGAAAGGGGGAAGAATGTTCTGCCCATGGATAGAATCAGAAGTTACTATTGCCAGGGAAGGAGCAGCTTACTGAAGTCCAGAACCTCCAGCCACTTCTGTCCAGCGTGTCCTGAACTTGCTAGCTGGCTACAACGGTGCAAGTGGATTTGCTATCCTTAGTCCTTGCCCTGCAGGTTGCTGGATGCCAGCACAGGGTAAGCAAAAGGGGTTTTAAACGCTGTATGCGCTGGTGGTTCTGAAAAGCCCTACAAATTAAAGCACTTTTCTGGGATGCCTGTTTTGTTAAAGTGACAGAAGTCTAAATTGTGACCAGGATTAAGTATCTTCCCCCATTTCTTTGAAGATGCTATCGAGTTATTGATATGATTAGACTGCAATGGACTTTCCATGTTATGGTCAAATTTGAAAAAAAAAAAAATGTTATCTTTTATTGTCTTCTGTATTCCGACAAACATTTTTATGACCTTGTATATTAATTAATCCAACTTCATATGTTACTCTCGGTATTTAGTTTATTTCTGTTACATGGGGTGGAATTAGAAAGAAGGAATGCGATTTTATTTGGGCAAAGCACAAAGGGCAATACAAGTCCCGTAAAAATTATCTCTAACTGCCCCCCATATAACGTGGAGACGAGGCATTAGAGGGCTGATACCAAGAATAAAATATAACAGAAAATCCAGTGGCTGCACAAAGCATGGCTTGAAAAGTAGTTTTACCAGCTGCTCTCCAAGATAGTTCTACAGAACATGCCCCATATAGAGTAAGACACAAAGTTCAAAACTGTAAAATTCAACAAATTGTCCAAAAAAAGTAGCATTATATTCCTCTTTGAATATTTTCTCAACCTGCATCCTGAATGCTTTTAGAATGTTTACTCCTGCCCAGTTATTATTGTCATTCCTACACAAATAAACAGAAAAAACAACAGACCACCTAAAAGTTCACCAATCCCTACAATCTAGCAGCCAAAAACACTTGAGCTAACTCTAACATGCACTAGGTGTCATAATAAATAACTATGAGGACAGATGAGGACAACGGAAGGAGAAATAGATTTATTTTAGCAATCCAAAATACTCCAAAGCACACATTTGTGGAGGGCTAAGATTATACTATTTAAATGTGAAACCATTTCAGTTGCTGAATGCTCCATGAAAGAAATATCAGAGTGTTCCAAATCATTGGTGTCCTATTGCCCAGAGCTTTGCTGTAACTATGCCAGCTTTCAGTAAAATTAAAATTCATTTTACAACTAGCAATGCAAATGGTAATCTCTTTTTTCCATAAGAACTTATGGAAGGTAATTGCCAGTAATTGTTCACTTTGCAGACATTGTGAAGTCAGTCAAAAATTTAATTTACGAAAGCCCTGGTTGGTTGTTACAGCTCTTGCTTGTCATGTCATTTAACAGTATTTTTTCCCTAATTCGTTCTTGAGAAAAACCAACGATGGAGATCCCATACTCTCTGAAAGTCATCTATCCTATTCCCTAGCTATTCTTGTATAAAAAAATTTACCCTCATGTGTAAGTTAAATCAACGTTGCTGCAATCAACGCCTATTTTTACTACTTCCATGCATGCTGGACCTACAAAGCAATTTATTTCCTTAATCTTTGCATTGGTATGCTTTTACACTTTTATCAACTCTTATGCTAAGAGAAAACCTGCTCAACTGAACTGTGTACATTCCACCAGGCAGATATTGTGAGAGAATGTAATTGTGGGAAACAATCCATCCATGTCACCAATGCTTTAGGTTTTTAAACTATTATTTTAGATAGGTCTGGACTTAAGCATCGATCCCTGACTATATTACAGGGTGATGCAGACTGGTTTGTCTCTGGTACATTTTTTAGCATATGGTTTTAAGCACAAAACCATCAGAATCCAGACAGAGCAAACACGCAACCTGAAAGGACCATTTCAAGTATGCAGTTCAAACCTGGTATGGTTTGCATACTTCACACCTATTAGCAGGTACCTCTTAAAGGAAAAAGAAGTACTTTCTGTAATACTGAAGTGTTGTATGGAGATACATAACTATGCAATGAGCACAAAGCAATCAAAACATAACCATGGTACAACTCCTCTGAGTTACATGGGTTTATACCCTAGATGAACTTATCCCAGGGTCTACAAAGAGCTCTTTGCAGGCTTCAGGAAAGAAGTGATAGTCCAAGTCTCACAGAAACTTGGACGGGGTGAAAAATGAAGGAGGACTGGGGTAAAGAAATACTTAAATAAACAATCCACACAATTCAAACACAAATGAATTCTGCAAATGTAATACCCAATACCTACAGGAATGGCACCTGATGAAAGACACAGAACAAAAACAAATGACATGAAATGAATACTAGTAAAGAAACACAAGCCTGCAAATGATGAAGATCATAAAAGAAGTGTATTTTAGGGAAAAAAATGGTTACAGACAAAAATATGAGACGCAAAAACTGCTCCAATGCAGTATTAATAAAGAAAGCCTGGGTTTGAGTTTGTTCTGCTTGAAAGTCTCTGGAGAAGTCCCTGAAAGTTTGAAGGCCTATGCTGACGTTAATGTTACATTTCTGTTTCTCCTTTCCACTCACTGGAGCTTACAGCTCATTCTAAAGAAAACAGTTTTCCAATTTACTAAGACCACACCAAAATCACACGATAAAACAACAGTGGAAGATGTCTACTTATAAAACATTTTTCAAAAATACATCTCCTTAAAATTTATGTCCAATTATTGCAATTATTCTAATTTGTCTTTGCCATCACCTAGCGTGGAAAGCATTAAAACATGGGCCAGTATTTGACTTGGTAATGAAAACATCCCAATATCCTGCCTGATAAACCCACAGGCCATAAGGACACCAGGGACCAGACAGCTAAACATATGAGCCACAATGATACAAGACAAGCATGCCCATGGTTTAGTTTAGAGGCAATGCAGACTGAATGCAGACTGATTTTTTTTTTTTACTAGCTTATCAAAAACCTTCCAGTCTTCCCATCTTAGAAAGGAACACAGCACAGGGTTATCACACTCATAAGTAAACAGACAGCGAGGTCAAGACTATTAGAAATGTTTAGGCTTCCTGATTTCCTAGTGCGGGCTTGTCTCCAAAAAGCTGTAGCAATAAGGCTAGTTAAATGACACATCTTGGTTTTCCAGTGTTCCTCTTGTGAAGAACCATCTGCACCAAAATGTCCACAGAAGAGAGTTGTTTGGTTGAGATGTTTCCAGAATTTGCCTTGTTTCTGGGTGGAAGTACAAAGGCTTTTCCACTTGTGTCTCTCATTGGAAAAATCTGAGCTGCACCATCTTGCAGAACTGAAACAAGTGAGATTCCCAGTGACATCGACAAAGAGTTGTCCATCAGACTGATTGCTCTTGTGAGATGAGTTCTGCAGGGCCCTGATGAGATGGCCCTCCAGGCTCCCAGAGGCTTAGATTGCCCAGACAAGACAGGCACTACATTTGGAGCATTTCTCCTTAATCTTTAACATTGCCATTAGGTAGCCTAAGAACAACCTGAAGCAGCCTCCTGAGAATGATGACTTCAGCCATACAACTCCTTAGGCCAACAGAACCCAAGGAGAAGAATTAAAATTAAAGAATTAAATTCTGAGCAAATGAAAAACCTGGCAGAGGTCAACCAGTCTGAGGAGACTTTGTGCAAGACACACAGTGAATATCTTTTTTCCTCCTTAAGCATTTTTATTTCTTTGAAGTGAGATCATTTACATGATACTCAATCGTACAACTTAAAACCAACAGCACAAAAAAATCTCTTCACCATTTGTCAGCTCCACTTGGAAGGAATATATGTCATAATCCTAGCAAGAGAACCAGAGCAAATAGATGCCGAGTAATGCTTCAATACCAAATTCTTTCAGTCATCACCAAAACTTGTACAAAGGAAGGGCTGAGGCCCATGTGTGACTGTACAGAGTGCTGCAACGCTTTGTAGACTGCTTCCGAATTAAAGGTGCTCTGGGCAATGCTCCTTCCTGAATGAAGAGGCAATCAAAGTTAGGAAAAATCGTCTTCGATTCCTTACACAAGTGAGCCCCTCCTGAGAGAGGGCACGAAGCAAATGCCAGTCTCTTCAGTGCTTCCACTAATTAGCATAGCATTTTTTTTAAATAGGACAGATATACAAAAGACTAATTCCTTGAGGACTCCAAGGAACTCAAAGACAAAAAGAAAGCTCCAGAAGGCAGGAAACATTAGGTATTCATCCTACACAAATCAAGAAAAAAATAAAAT